GGACGCCGCGGCTCGGGTTGCCGGAGGCGCCCCTCGGAGGCGGGGAGGGCCCGCGCTCTGCTCTCCACGCGGGCCTCGGTGGCGCGAGGGCGCGGAGCGCAGGGGCGGCGGGGCCGCACACACCCGGGCCCAGTCCCGAGATGGGGAAGCGACGGAGGGACGGGTTGGGGCCACCACCTTTCCGTGGCGGGCCGGAACCGCGGCCCGGACGCCGGCCTTGCTGGGCCCGGGCGCCTTCCCGCTCCTGCAGACACCGCGGCCCTGGGCGCGCAGCCCGGGGCGGCCGTCCGACCCGTGTAGTAAGCGGGGCCTTCGACGGTCTGCAGTGACGCGCGGTTCCGGCCTCTTTGTTGGGTGGCTGCGGAGCCCTGAACCGGGTGGCTGGACGGGCAGGAGTGCCGTTGTTCGTCCGTCCGACGGGGACGGCCGTGCCGCTGGTGGCGGTCAGGTGGGGCTGGCGGCGGCAGTGAGGGGACGGCTGCGGAGCCCGTGGAGGCCTCTGTGGAGTGGCGGGTGCACCTGCGCCTCCTGGGCTGGCTGGGCCTTCCGCGGGCCGCGTGGGGCCGCGAGGAGCGACCGAGCCGCACGCGCACACACTCGCTTCCCGGCCGCCGCCCGCCTCGCCCGCCCGCCCGGGCTCCGCTCCGCCCGCCGGCCTTCTCTGCGGAAGGGACCGGGGCTGCAGCAGGGTTCCCGTCGCCACCCCCACCCCGGGCGCTTGGCAGGCTCTGCGCGGGAGGCCGGCTGGCCCCTGGGGCAAGCCCCGGTGAGCCCACATTCTCTGAGCCAGGCGGGTGGGAGGCGGAGTCCTCCGTCCTGGGAGTTTAGATGGCAGCACTCTAGTGAGGCACTGCTGGGCAGACAGTGGCCAGCCTTTACCTGCAGCCCAGAGTGTGTGCGACCTCCTCTCCCTCCCCTCCTGCCCAGGCTTGAAGGCGGGCGTCTCACAGGCTGGACAGCCGGCTCCTGGGATGCAAGACGGGTGACTACTATGATGGATTGTAGGCTTTGGTGGTGGTTGGTGCAAAAAGCTGTGGGAACACGGGGTGAGTTGCGGTTAGTTCTGTCGCAGAGATTAGATGGGACAGGCAGAGAAGGCTGGGCTATCAGGTGGGCTCTGAAGGATGAGTAGGAGTTTGCTGGATTCAGAAGACAGGGCATGCACTCAGGGTGGTGCGGGAGTGCCGTGGGGTGCCTAGATGGGCAGGAGCGTTGTATGACCTGCTTGGAGGCCTTGTTCCAGGTTCCTCACAGCCTTAGCTGACCCAGGAGGCTGACTGGGGGAGCTGAGGTTCCACTCATTGCAAATGAGAACGGCCTGCCCAGGAGCCTCAGCAGTGCCCAGGCCCCTGGACTCAGAAGGACGGATGAGGGCAGATGGAGGGCATGGCCGTTTGACGACAGAGCCTTCCAGGCAGGCGTCTTGGCCACGTGGAAGGACAGGGAGTGATGTTCTCTCTAGCGTGAACGGGAGGGGCCAGGGAGGGGACGAGGGACTGTAACTGCCCGGTGTTGGGCTGCCCCAGGACCATGTGCGTCTTGCTGGCGCCCAGGCTGCCAGCTCTGGAGGGCGGGTGAGAAGCCTCCATCTAGAGCTGTGGCAGCTGGAAGTGCTTTCTGTGCTTGCTGGTCTGGTTGCAGTTTGCCAGCTTGGGCTCTGGAGGGCAGTGCAGGCCTGGAGTGTCCCTGAGGGCTGGCCCTGCCCGCCCCATGGGCCTCACATGCACAGGTTCCGCGGTTCCTCAGCTACCACCCCTGGTTGGCCACCCCCAAACCAGTGACAGTTCTGAAGAAGACAGCTGATCACAGCCAAAGAGAACAATGATGACCAGCTGTCACCAACTTGATGACCAACTGTCACTTCCTGTGGGCCAGATACACACAGAGGGCTTTGCGGATGTTGATTAGCTTGTTTGGACATCATAGTAATCAGAGACTAGGTTGGCATTCCTGTTCTGCAGATGGGGAAACTGAGGCAAGGAGAGGTTGAGTAACTTCCCCGGGGTCACATCTGAGGGAGTCAGTGTCCAAACTCTCAGCTGTGACTGTGGCACACACCACCTGGACTGGACCGTTCGGGGTGGAGAGGCCTCCACCCGCTCCCTGCCAGCGGGGGAGGGGAGGCAGCGAGGGGAGGAAGCTTTTTCGGAGTGCCCCGGACTCTCCCCAGAACCAGCCCTGGCAGGCCCCACGGCCCCAGCCCCGCACAGTCTTTTCCCCTCATCTTGCCCCCGTGGTCCCAGTGGAGGCCTCTCAGGAAGAGGCAGGCGGATCACCTCGACAAGCACAGCAGCACCTTCCGGCGGCACTGCGGCCTGGCGCCTTGACGTCTTGGTTGGCCTTTTGGAGTCTCTTTCCAGGGTCCCTTTGTGTAAAAGAAGCTACCAACTCAGAAAATGAGGAAGTGGTTTATTTTAAGTTACCCTCTCAAAAAACAAAACAAAAAGTTGTGTTACACATGTGTTCATGAGCATCTAAAACGCTTGTTTCTGACACAGTTCTCAAATATCAACCCCCAGGTCCTATGAAAGAGAAGTCAGTAATTTGGGTTGAAAGTTATTGATATGGGTGATAGAGAAACAGTTGTGTATGTGCTTTTATTTTTCAAAGAAAAAGGATAGGTTTGTTTTTGTTTTTTTCTCAAAGCAGCATTTCTCAAGCTTTTTGTCTGTAGATCCTTTTATACATAAAAATTATTATTATTTTTTGAGACAGAGTCTCACTTTGTTGCCCAGGCTAGAGTGTGATGGCGTCAGCCTAGCTCACAGCAACCTCAATCTCCTGGGCTCAAGCGATCCTGCTGCCTCAGCCTCCTGAGTAGCTGGGACTACAGGCATGCACCACCATGCCCGGCTAATTTTTTCTATATATATTAGTTGGCCAATTAGTTTCTTTCTATTTATAGTAGAGACTGGGTCTTGCTCTTGCTCAGGCTGGTTTCGAACTCCTGACCCCGAGCAATCCACCCGCCTCGGCCTCCCAGAGTGGTAGGATTACAGGCGTGAGCCACCGTGCCCGGGCAGCGCAAGTATATTTTTTAAAAGTATATTTTATAAAACAAAACATTTTTATGGAGAACAGCATTATTTAATTTTTTTTATAAATCTCTTAAATGACTAAATACAAGATATCCGGATTCTCATTCTATTGCAGTGTCTGTATCATCTGGTCTCTGGGAAACCCTACTGTACCCTCATGAACGAATGAGAGAGGAAGAAAAGATTAGTGTTATTATGAAAGAGTTTTTACCTCACGGATCTTCTGACAGGGTCTCAGGTACTCTGGGATTTCCTGGACCACATGCTATTCTAAAGAGATTTAGAGATTTTCTAAAATATGAAAAAAAGTGAAGGACAAACCTTGGAAAGTGAATTTTATTGTTGTAGTTTATAATACCCGAGTCTGAAAAGTTCTGAAATACCATGGTTTTAGTGAGGTGTGCTGCGTTGGTGGTCTTGCTTTCTTGGTTTCCTCACTAATGCCTGGGCCTTCAAAATGAAAGATTATTCTTGACTTCCTGTGTAATCCACTGCAATAGCAGAGGTTCTGTATAGCAGGATAGTTTTGATACTTTGACTTTATTACGTTCTTGATTATTTAAGGTAGAAAAACGAAGAACAAAGGCTCATCATTTATGAAAGAGTAAAGGTCTGTTAGTTTTATTAATAGATAACCAAGTCTGGCTGGGTGTGGTGGCTGACGCCTATAATCCCAGCATTTTGAGAGACAGGCGGGAGGATCTCTTGAGCCTAGGAGTTAAAGACTAGCCTGGGCAACAGTGAGACGCTGTCTCTACAACAAATTAAAAAAAATAGCCAGGTGTGGTTATGTGGACCTGTAGTCCCAGCTACTCCAGAGACTGAGGCAGGAGGATTGCTTGCCAAGTCTCTTCCCTTGGGCACCCATGATCCTGCTTTAATTGTATGTCCAGATTACCTCTGACAACACTGCCGACGTTGCTTTCTGAAGATTGGACCCTAAGTTTAAGAAAAAAAATTTTTCAGTTTGTTTTATATCTAAAACTCTTAATGAGACTTCCAAAAGTGCCCCTGGAAAGGCACAAAGATTTGGTCATTCACCTTATAAAAAGGAAAATATTGCAAAAATAATTAGATTTAAGTGTTACTATTTTAATTGCTGCACAGAAAAAGTAATTGTCAAATCAGAAGAGATGCTAGTTGGGGTTTCCCTTGGCTAAGTTGGTGCAGGTAAAATGTTATCACTACAAATATTCTGTAAGTCGTGGGCTTTATGGGAAGTCTCTTGCGTGTCAGCGCCCTCCCTTGCTTATGTGCTGTATTTTCATTCTCAGAGTAAACACTGACCAAATTTGTTATGAAATAGGTATGAACCGTACCCCAAAGAGAGCTGAACTCTCCTCCATCTTATATCATTGGCTGGAGAAAAAAATTAATCTCAACCGGTAAGTCTCTGTCATACATTGATGAGTGTGGGGTTCCATAAAAGGACAGTCAGGCTAGCTCGGTGATTCACGCCTGTAACCCTAGCACTCTGGGAGGCCGAGGCGGGAGGATTGCTTGATGTCAGGAGTTCGAAACCAGCCTGAGCAAGAGCAAGACCCCGTCTCTACTATAAATAGAAAGAAATTAATTGAAAAGAAACTAATATAAATTAATTGAAAAGAAACTAATATAAATAGAAAAAATTAGCCGGGCATGGTGGTGCATGACTGTAGTCCCAGCTACTCGGGAGGCTGAGGCAGGAGGATCGCTTGAGCCCAGGAGTTTGAGGTTGCTGTGAGCTAGGCTGACACCACGGCACTCACTATAGCCTGGGCAACAAAGCGAGACTCTGTCTCAAAAAAAAGATAGAGTCAGCGCTGGGCGAGAGGGATTGTGTGAGCTGCTTTCCAAGTGCAGAGTTTCAACAGCTCTCAGACCACACCAGGGCCCTGGGGCAGGATTTCCAGGGCTCTGCTAGTTTGGAAGCAGACTGCGGCTCCTAACCCACATGACACGGTTTACACAGCACCCAACCAGCTGCTCGGGGAAGTTGTATGTGGTGATTGGCTTGGAACACTGCCGATGTTTTGTTTTATTTACTTATTTACTTGCTTACTTACTTACAGAGTCTCTGTTGCCCAGGCTACAGTGCCGTGGTGTCAGCCTAGCTCACAGCAACCTCAAACTCCTGGGCTCAAGCGATCCTTCTGCCTCAGCCTCCCGAGTAGCTGGGACTACAGGCAATGCGCCACCATGCCCCGGCTAATTTTTCCATATATTTTAGTTGGCCAATTCTTCCTTCCTTCTTCTCCTTCCTTCCTTCCTTCCTTCCTTCCTTCCTTCCTTCCTTCCTCTCTCCCTCCTCCTCCCTCCCTCCTCCCTCCTCTCTCCTTCCTCCCTCCTCCCCTCCCTCTCCCTCTCCCTCCCTCCCTCCCTCCTCCCTCCCTCCCCTCCTCCCTCCTCCCTCCCTCCCTCCTCTTTCTTTTCTTTCTTTTCACTCTGTTGCCCAGGCTAGAGTGGTGCCATGGCGTCAGCCTAGCTCACAGCAACCTCAGTCTCCTGGGCTCAAGTGATCCTCCTGCCTCAGCCTCCCGAGTAGCTGGGACTACAGACATGCACCACCATGCCCGGCTAATTTTTTCTATGTATATTTTTAGTTTGCCAATTAATTTCTTTCTATTTTTAGTAGAGATGGGGTCTCACTCTTGCTCAGGCTGGTTTCGAACTCTTGACCTTGGAGGGATCTTCCCACCTGGGCCTCCCGGAGTGCTAGGATTACAGGCGTGAGCCACCCTACCTGGCCTGATGTTTTATTAATAATTTCTATTTTCTAGAGATATGAGGGAACCCCCTCTTTTTCTTAAGCTGTATGTAAACCCATAACAATTTAGTAGGCTCTTGCTCTGGTCAATGGGAAAAAACATTTTTAAATGATACCTATTTCTCACTCATACCCCCCACCATTCTTACTAAGTCTCCTTATTTTTGTGGTGATAGTTATTTTCATAGGTTCAATAAGAAGAATCTGTCATTTTTAAAATTTGTATTTTTATTGTGGTAAAATAGAAGATTTTAACCATTTTCAAGTGTACAGGTCAGTGGCATTAAGCGCATCACATTGTTGTGCAGCCGTCACCACCCTCCATCTCCAGAACTTTTTCATCTTTATGAACCAAAACTGTGTGCCCTTTCGACACCGCCCCCCGCCCCCGCCCCCGCCTGCCGTGGGGGCTCTGCCCTGAGTACATACCGGCTTCTCTCATTTGGGTGATCTCCATCTACTTCCACAGCGAACCCTCACACTTGCAGACACTGCAGGTGAACCTGCTGGAATTTCTCAGGCTTGGTTTCCTGCCCTCAGCGTAGCAAGTAACAGACAGTTTTCAAAGTTCAACCTAAGATTCCTTATGAAAATTTCCAGGCAAAGTAGATTTTGTGGCCTTCGTAATTGTTCAATACTGCATGGCTCTAAATTTGCAAAAGAAACGTAAGAGGCTTAGTTGGTTACTTAACACTCTTGCCACACCTATGTAAATTACAGTCTAATGAGTCCAGCCCTTTTTTTGTATTAAAGAATGTCTTTGAGATTATTCTCACAGGTAGAGAGACTGTCAGGAAAAATTGGAGAAAACTCTGAAATGGGCAAAAAACACACACTCTTTTAGGGTTTCTCTGCCTTTCATTATCTTTGAGCTGTATAACTCTTGTAAGTGCTAGAAAACTGATGTTAACAATGCAAATGATTTTGTCCATGGGAACGCAGTTGAGCTTTGCCCGGGTGAACGCAGTTGATTATTGCCTTGTCCATATTGGTCAGTTTTGCGTTGGGTTGTAAATTCATTTCTGACTTCTTTGACTCCTTTGAATGGTTTTTATTTTTTTATTTTATTTATTTATTTTTTTTGAGACAGAGTCTCACTTTGTTGCCCAGGCTAGAGTGAGTGCTGTGGCGTCAGCCTAGCTCACAGCAACCTCAGACTTCTGGGCTCAGCAATCCTACTGCCTCAGCCTCCCGAGTAGCTGGGACTACAGGCATGCGCCACCATGCCCGGCTAATTTTTTGTATATATATATATTTTAGTTGGCCAATTAATTTCTTTCTATTTTTGGTAGAGACGGGGTCTTGCTCAGGCTGGTTTCGAACTCCTGACCTTGAGCAATCCGCCCGTCTCGGCCTCCCAAAGTGCTAGGATTACAGGCGTGAGCCACCGCTCCTGGCTGAATGGTTTTTATATCTTACTGTTAATGAGTTATATAAGATCTTTAACGTGTTCATTTAAGAAGAAGAAGAAAACAAAAGGAAACTCACTTTCTTCAGACCCTTCATTTTTCTGATGATAACACCAAGGCCCAGAAAAGTGAAGTGCCCAGCGGTGCGGTGGCTCACACCTGTAATCCCAGCACTCTGGGAGGCCAAGGCAGGTGGATCGTTTGAGCTCAGGAGTTCGAGATCAGCCTGAGCAAGAGTGAGACCGTGTCTCTACTAAAAAATTAGAAAGAAATTAATTGGACAACTAAAAGTATATATATGAAAATAAGCCGGGCATGGTGGCACATGCCTGTAGTCCCAGCTACTTGGGAGGCTGAGGCAGCAGGATCGCTTGAACTCAGGAGTTTGAGGTTGCTGTGAGCTAGGCTGACGCCACGGCACTCTAACCTGGGCAACAGAGTCAGACTCTGTCTCAAGAAAAAAAAAAAAGAAAAGTGAAGTGCCTGTCCTGCTTTTCTGGTTAATTCTTGGGCACTCTTGAGCCCCACGCCCAGAGGGCACTTTGGGTGCTAGCCTGGGTCACTGACTTTACGTTCCTGTGTTGTGGCTTTGATTGGCAACTGGCACCCGGCAGGCTTCTGCATGTTGGGTGGATGGGTTGATGACTGATTGGTTCTTAGGGTAGCACGTGCCTGTTTTCCTGGTGTTCGTCATAGGTATAATGATATATTTGCTGTAAATGAGCTTCCCTGGGGCAGGGCCTGGGAGCTCCCAGAGCCCAGCATGTCTGTTGGTGGAGGAGTGGGCTGGGCTCTCCCAGCGCCCATCTAGTGTGCCTCCTGGGCAGTGTGAGGGTGACCTTGAGGGCCCTGGGTGCCTAGGAGGTGGGTGTGGTGGTGGTGGGGACACAGTGCCATTTATTTGTCACTAACGAAATTCAGTGAGCCAGCTATCACCCACACAGGGGACCAGGAGCACAGGGATGACCACATGCTGACCAAGGAAGGAGGAGCAGCTGCCATGTGCAGGGTTCCGCCTCCAAAACACCTTATCCTTCCAGAAGCACCTGCGCTGCTCTGCCCTGGCGTAGCTGCACCTCCACCCTAACCACTGTGTGGGAGGGGCTGGGTGGGCCTCTTGTGAACTGTGAGGTTTTCAGGGACATTTGGCCTCTAGGGTGTGAGGGAGGCTCTGGGGCTTCGGAAAGGGGGGCTAGGTCAGGCTCAGTGGCACACGCCTGTAATCTCATCACTTTGGGAGGCTGAGGCAGGAGGATCACTTGAGCCCAGGAGTTTGAGGTTACAGTGAGCTATGATGGCACCCCTGCACTCTAGCCCAGGCAATAGAGGGAGACCCGGTCTCTAAAAAAATAAAAATAAAAAGTGGCTGGGACTGGTGTCTGAGTAGACACACGAATGATCTGTTGTTATCAGCTGGTCTTACTCAGGAGAAGTGGGCCTGGGGTGGGCTGTGACTTGTCCCGGCGCGCCCGGCTTGGGCATTTGCAGCTGCTGAGGTGTCCCCTGCCCTTCCTGGGCACTCTTGAGCCATAGCCCTGTCTCTGAAACCTGGGGCAAGGATGCCTAGGTTCCTTGCCTTCTTGGCAAGGATGTTGTGAGGGTTAGGGAGGAGGCCGCAGAGCCGGCTTGGCAGTCTAGATGGTGTTAGTAGATGGCAGCTGCTGCGTCTTTGTCATTAGTGATGACGTTTGCCATCCCTGCTCCGCAGAGTCCTGGAGCCACTGGGGAAACAAAGCATAAAGCGGCTAGTGAGATCCTGGCTGTGAACACCCTGATGACCTTGTTCTGAGGCGAGGGGAGTTATGGCTTCCTGTGGCTCTGGGAAGAGAGCAGCCAAGAGTTCCTGTGGGTGCGAGGTCCCCAGGTGTAGGCCATGTGACCTCCAGGGCACAGCCCAGAGGAGCTGCTCTCACTCTTGTCCTCTCTGGCAGCTGCCATGAGGCCTGTGCACAGACTGGCACACCCTATGTTCATATCTGTTATCCCATTGATTCTGGATTTAATGAGAAAATGCCCTGCAAAATATTTGTTACAGTCTATTTTTTTTTCTTTTTGAGACAGTCTCACTCTGTTGCCCAGGCTAGAGTGAGTGTCGTGGCATCAGCCTCACTCACAGCAACCTCAAACTCCTGGGCTCAAGCAATCTTCCTGCCTCAGCCTCCCGAGTAGCTGGGACTACAGGCATGCGCCACCATGCCCAGCTAATTTTTTCTATATATATTTTTAGTTGGTCAATTAATTTCTCTCTATTTTTAGTAGAAACGGAGTCTCACTCTTGCTCAGGCTGGTTTCGAACTCCTGACCCCAAGCAATCCACCCACCTCAGCCTCCCAGAGTGCTAGGATTACAGGCGTTGAGCCACCGCGCCTGGCCTTACAGTCTATTTTTAATGGTAAAATTTTTAAACTAGTTAAATGTCGAACAATAGGTGGTTAGTTGTATTTTGGTATTTACATACACAGCAAACAGGGTTCTGAGCTCTGGGCAGCAGTGATGTTTGGGGCATGGTTAGCTGAGGGCTGCCCATGTATCTACAGTGTCCCTCCCTGCTCTCTGGCCACTGAGCACCAGCAGCACCCTCCCCACCACCCCGTGGTGACAACCAAAAATGTCTCCAGACACTGCCAGATATTTCCTGGGGCTCAAAATCACCCCTGGTTGAGAACCACTGTAATAAGATACAGATGCTAGGGCCGGGCGCGGTGGCTCACGCCTGTAATCCTAGCACTTTGGGAGGCCGAGGCGGGCGGATTGCTCAAGGTCAGGAGTTCGAAACCAGCCTGAGCGAGACCCCGTCTCTACCAAAAATAGAAATAAATTAATTGACCAACTAAAAATATATATACAAAAAATTAGCCGGGCATGGTGGCGCATGCCTGTAGTCCCAGCTACTCAGGAGGCTGAGGCAGTAGGATCGCTGAGCCCGGAGATTGAGGTTGCTGTGAGCCAGGCTGACGCCACGGCACTCACTCTAGCCTGGGCAACAAAGTGAGACTCTGTCTCAAAAAAAAAGAAAAAAAAAAAAAGATATAGATGCTAGAATGTTCTGGGAGACTTCATTGAAGTGAGGAGATGGCCACAGGTTTGCGTGTAGATGCGGATGTGTGTGGGGGTCTGGAAGGAAGTCAGTTCACATGAGTTGTTACTTGAGTGATGGGCTGAAAGGTAAACCTGCGCCCACACAGAATTCAGAAGCTGTCTCTAGAGGAATGTGGTGGAGGGGGGCGCTCTGAACCACTGTGCCCCGACCTTGGCAGCTGGGCTTCTGTGACCTGTTTCCGAGGGGCGTGTTCTGTTTTGTCCTTTGTCTTGGTGCCCTGTGAGGGCCCTGGAGCCAGGGTCCAGGAGCTTCCCCATATGGCCACACACAGGAGGCCTTTGCAGCTGGCTTCATCCTCCTAAATGCACAGCCGTACCCAGCCGTGGGGCGGGCTCTTCCAGACTGCCTGTGGGAGGGCCAGGGCGCAGCCTCGAGCCCGTGCACGATCCCCAGGGCCGAAGTGAGCCCCCCAGACAGGGAGGTGACAGTGCCAAGTGCATGACTGCACCCAGCCTGGGGGTGCTGGCAGCCTGTGGGGGGAGGCGCACCTCCATCAGTGCCAGCCTCCTACCAGCCCCTCTTCCCATGGGGCTAGGGCTGCCTCCTTTCTTTCTGGAGACAGTTGATTGGCCATTCTCCTGTTTGCGTTTTATTTTCTATGTATTCAGGAACCGTATGAAGTTGCCAATATTTGGTTTTGTCTTACAATGTGCCCATTTTGTTTGGTTCAACCTAATGTAAACATGCGCACGTGCGCGCGCGCACACACACACATGCAAATACTTTTAAAGATAGGATCATTCTGGCCGGGCGCGGTGGCTCATGCCTGTAATCCTAGCACTCTGAGAGGCCGAGGCAGGCAGATTGCTCGAGGTCAGGAGTTCGAAACCAGCCTGAGCAAGAGCGAGACCCCATCTCTACCATAAATAGAAAGAAATTAATTGGCCAACTAATATATATAGAAAAAAAAATTAGCCGGGCATGGTGGCGCATGCCTGTAGTCCCAGCTACTCGGGAGGCTGAGGCAGGAGGATCGCTTGAGCCCAGGAGTTTGAGGTTGCTGTGAGCTAGGCTGACGCCATGGCACTCACTCTAGCCTGGGCAACAAAGTGAGACTCTGTCTCAAAGAAAAAAAAAGATAGGATCATTCTATTCAGACTGTTATGCGGGAATTTTTGTTCGGTATTTGGACATCTTTCTATACTGATGCACACAGACAGACCTCTCATTGTTTTTAATGGTCGTATATATTCCATTGTTTGGGCTTTTCTTGAAAATTTAATTCCAAAATGGCTTCTGTCAGGCCAGTTGTTTATAATGTATTATTTAATTTGGTGTATGGAAGCTTTACTCTTTGTGCAGTTGTCAAATATAGTTGACCCTTGAGCAGCGTGGGGGTCAGGGCCCTGATCCCCGCACGATCAGAGTGACTCCCCCAAAACTACCCTTCACCGACAACATAAACAGCCCATAACACATAATGTTGTGTGTTGTATGTACTGTGCGCTGTGTTCTTACCGTAAAGTAAGTTAGAGAAGAGAAAATGTTACTAAGAAAATGATAAGGAAGAAAGGTATTTACCATGCACTGAGTGGGAGGCACCGTTCTTCCTTGTCACCTTCGTTTTGAATGGCGGGGCGGGGCGGGGCTGCTGTGGCCCTGTCAGGGCAGTTCAGGCCGCATTGCTCCAGGGTCCCTGTGCATTCTGTTTTTAATAATTGTGCGCACGTGTCTCCACATACAAATGTACTTCTAATCTACCCCTGGAGCCATGTGGCCCAGTGGAGAGACCTCACCTGCTGGGCAGTCACTTACTAGTCCTGGCTGCCACTTGGTAGTTCTGTGACCTCAGAAAATTACCCCCAAAACCTTATTTTCTCACCATGAAGTCAGAATTGACACTGCCCACTGCTCGGCAGAGCTGAGTGCAACAAAAGAGATGATCAAGTGAAGCGCTCTGAGCAGCGCTGCACCCTGAAGAAACGGGCTGTTGGTTTTCTGTTGTTGTTGAAAGCAATAGTGGTGATAGCAATAATCTGCTAACTAATATTTATTTTTAAATAATTCGTGAGCCGGACTGTCCTGCTTCCTGATCTCGGAGGTCTTCCTGGGCATGGAGTAGGGGAGTTGAAGCCTGAGGCTGCAGGACTGGCCCTGGGAAGCGCTGGGGCCTGGCGAGTGTCCAGGATGAGGAAGCCTCCAGAGCTTGCTCCTGGGCTGCTGCACCCAGCTCCGTGCCCAGCAGAAAGAAAGAAATGCAGCGGTGGCTCACTCCTGTCATCCTAGCTCTCTGGGAGGCCGAGGCAGGCGGAGTGCTCAATGTCAGGAGTTTGAAACCAGCCTGAGCAAGAGCGAGACCCCGTCTCTACTAAAAATAGAAAGAAATTAATTGGCCAACAAATATATATAGAAAAAATTAGCCGGGCATGGTGGCGCATGCCTGTAGTCCCAGCTACTCGGGAGGCTGAGGCAGGAGGATAGCTTGAGCCCAGGAGTTTGAGGTTGCTGTGAGCTAGGCTGACCCCACGGCAGTCTAGCCCGGGCAACACAGTGAGACTCTGTCTCAAAAAAAGAAAAAAGAAAGAAAGAAACGCAGCGACGAGTGTGCCTCTGAGCCAGAGCCCAGGATGGCTTCCCTGGCTCTTCCCTCAGGGGCCTGGTGCCCCTGCAGGGAGCGGCCACCCACCCTATGTGTGTGTTCCCTTCCAGGCTGCTGACCAGGACACCTGTGTGCCAGGAGTGATTTGGAGCTGCCCACAGTGCCCGAGCCATGGACTCTGAGGTAGACTCTGAAATCCTTGGAAGATTGCTTGGGGGGCACAGAGTTGGCCAAGGGTCAGCTTGTCCTCCATGTGTGTGCCTGTCGGTGCTAATCCCACCCAGCTCTGCAAAGATGAACTTCAGACTTGCCACTCACCAGAGCATAGTGAAAGAACCAACCAAGCTGGCTCATCCTCCCCCGTCCCTTGCTGTCCTTCCCCGACTGCCCTGACACGGCCCTTCCACTCCCCTCCTACTCATGGTGCCCGGCTAGCTGGAAGGGCGGCAGGCTTTTGATTTAGGATCATGGAAAAGCTGTAGGTTCGGGGCGGGGTCACACAGAGGTCCTGTGGACTGCTCCCCACCTTCACCGGGATGCCACCTCAACTATTCCTTGTCTGCAGTTTGAATGATTTTGGGAGAGAAAATTATAGCATATTCAATCAAGCTCTATTTTTGTCTATGTACTATATATAGCCTTTTAATGTCCTTTCTTTGCCAAGTTCTGCGACCTCTTTAGGGTGTCCAGCACCAGGGCTTTCCTGTGTCCACACCGCGTGCACCAGCTCCCTGCCGTTCTCACCAGCCACGGACGGGGAGGTGTCTACGAGAGTCGAGTGACTTGGCATTTTGTGACCCCGGTCCCCTGTGTTGGCCCAGTTCCCGAGCACAGAGCAGCACCTGGCACCTGGCAGTTCTCAGGATGCATTTGTGGACTGTCCTTGCAAAAGGGTGGGACCCGAGTGGCTTTCAGCATGGTGGCTGGAGGGCCTGAGGCACAGTGGGCTCCGAGTGTCCTGACAACAGGCTGCAGTCAGCGTCTGAGAGAGTGCCCTGTGCGAGGGTGTGCGTGCGCTGCCCTGGACTGCTCTCCCTGCCCGGCTCCGTCCTTCCTCCCGCGTTCTGGCGACGTCTGGAGGTTAAGACGCCACCACCCGTCACGCATGTGCAGCCCTTGCTCTCCTGCCCCCACAGTGCTCCCCGAGGCCCCTCAGTGGAGGAGGGTGGAGGTGGTCACTCCTGGTGCCTTTCCTTTGACCTTCAAGTTGAGGAAGCTGAGACAAAGAAGTGAAGTGGCTTGCTGGGGTCCTGCACACGTGGGCTTCACAGTGAAACAACAGCAGTTTTCTCTAACATTTCAGGGTTCTGCCTTTTTTCCCCATCAGAACTTTCATCCTGTTGTAGACATTTCTGACTTCTCCTTGATGTTTTTTACCAGCTTTAAAAAAAATTGTGGTAAAAAACACAAAACATAAAATTTAATATTTTAGCTATTTTGGCCAGGCGCGGTGGCTCACGCCTATAATCCTAGCACTCTGGGAGGCCGAGGCAGGCAGATTGTTTGAGCTTAGGAGTTTGAGACCAGCCTGAGCAAGAGCGAGACCCCATCTCTACTAAAAAGATAGAAAGAAATTAACTGGACAACTAAAAATATATACATATATGATTCAGGAATCTGTGCATTCAGGGAAAAAAAAAGAAAAAAATATATATATATAAATAAAAATTAGCTGGGCATGGTGGCGCATGCCTGTAGTCCCAGCTACTCGTGAGGCTGAGGCAGGAGGATCGCTTGAGCCCAGGAGTTTGAGGTTGCTGTGAGCTAGGCTGACGCCACGGCACTCACTCTAGCCTGGGCAACAGAGTGAGACTCTGTCTCAAAAAAAACCACAAAAAACTATTTCTAAGTGTGTGGCTCAGTGGCACTAAGTACACTCACATTGCTGTGCAGCCAGCGCCACCCTCCTTCCCAGAGCTCTTCCTTCTTTCCAAAACGAAACTCCCGTCAACACCACAGCCCTGCCAGCTGCCACCTTCCACTTGCTGTCTCTGGGGATCCGGCTACTTTGGGCTGGAAATGGAGGTGGAATCACATAGTATTTGTCCTTGCATGCCAGGCTTACTTTCCTCAGCACAGCGTCCTTGGGATTTGCCCATGCTGTAGCATTCTTAGATTTTTTTTAAATTCAAAATGTCTATATTTGCAACATTTCTGTGTTGAGTTTTTGTGAATTCACTCAAAGGGCATATATTTTTTAAATTTTTCAAGAAATTCAATTTCATAGTGACTTTAATAAGTTACATCTGTTGTGATTACTGGTGTATTTCAACTGATTTTTCCAACTTTTGCTGTTTCTCACCCATCATTCCTTTGCCTTACATCAGCACTTAAGTCCTCCCCCAGCATCTGTTCAGTTAGCCACCATTTCTCTGCCAGTCTAAATATGCTAATCAGCACTCTTGTATTATTAACATGAAATATTAATGTTTTTTTAAAATCAGGGTTCCTATTTTTTCATAAGAAAATATGGGGAATTTGGCCATGTTTTACTTCTCAGCATCCTACAACTGCTGCCTCTTTGATGTTTTTTGATATTTGGAAAAACCAAGACAATTGTTTTTGCCAAGTTTGGGAATCAGGGTTATTCTACTTTATCAAACACACTGGGTAAGTGACCGTCTTTTTCTTTGCACTGAACTCATTTTGTATCATGAGATGAAGTCAGTCTTCATTATGTCCAGCAGGATTTCCTGAGTCTTGATCATTATTTTTTTCCCTGTAATCTAAAAAGATAAACTATCACATTTTCCATCTTCTGAGACATTCATTTCAGCTTTGATCAAGTGGATCTAGAAGATCAGGAAAGGTCATGGTTCCATGTTTGGCAAAGCTCAAGCTCTGTTTGTTCCTGGAATTAAATCCTGTCGTCTTCAGCGCCTGCTGCAGGTGCTTGTCCATACTGCTCTCCCTCCACCTGCAGCTCGGCCTCCCGCGTCATGGTTACCCCCTGGAGGCTTCCAGACCTATCCTCTGACATGTGAAATTCTTTCCTTTTCTACCCTGTCAACTCTTCTTTTTATTTTATGTGGGAAAGCCACAGGTCACTGAACTTGAACCTGAGAGCCTGCTCTGCATCCAGACTTTGGGTACCTGTGTACCAACCCCTGGATCAGAAGGAAGTCTTCGCTGGGATGAAATACTACAAACAGAGTGGCTTTAAACACAGAGGTTCATTCCCTCAGTTCTAGAGGCCAGAAGTCTGAAATCAAGGTGTTGTCCGAGCTGGTTCCTGCCAGGGGCTCTGAAGGAGGGTCTGTTCCAGGCCCCTCTCCCGGCTTCTGCAGCCGCAGCAGTGCTCCCCGGCTCTTGGCTTGTAGGGCTGTCACTCCAGTTTCCGCCTGTCTTCATGGGGTGCTTTCACCCCATGTCTCTGTGTCTCAAGGTATAAATCTCCCTGTCATTTCTCTCATAAAGATACTAGTCATTGGATTTAGTACCTACCCTAATCCAGTATGCAAAAACCCTGTTTCCAAACAAGGTCACATTTGTAAGTACTTGGAGTAGGACTTGAGCATTTGTCTTTGGGGGATACAGTTTACCCTACAACACTGCCCCAGTTCTTCTTTCTTCTCTCCTAATCAGCACACCTCCTTGAGGCAGGAACAAAACATGTTCTTGAGCTTCTAAGCCGTCTTGGACTACACGGCCTCAATGTACAGGCATTGTAAGGATTTGACACAGTAGAATTTTACATAAAACTTTTCCATTTTTCAGAAAAAACTTTGGGGGAAGTGAAGGTCGAATAGCAATAATAGCAATACCCTGGCATCTTATTTTAATAATTTTATTTATTTAAAACAATTTACCCTTTAAAAGTTTTGGTTTTTCTAATGAAAATTATTAAGGACTTAGAGGATAGAAATGAATTTTGCCTGCACTTTTATCTTCCTGTCCTGGCCTTCACTGACAGCCCAGGATGTCTGTTTTGCATTTATCTGAGGAGATCTCAGCACCCTGGCCCTCTGGGCGGTTCTTCCCTCGCCCACCCCAGGCCTGTGCTTGCTCTGGGCACACCTCAGCAGTGGGTGCTGCGGTGCACGCCGCTGTCTGCCAGGAGCCGGCCCAGATGCAGCCGGCGCACCACAGCCACCCCGCCTGGCTCCACGGCGTGGACGCTGGGCTAAGCTGCTGCTTGTGCAGGTGGAGGGCACAGGGCCCGAGAGCCCAGCCCCGCCGGGTTAGGGCAGGACCACCCTGACAGCTCTGGGGGGGGTTGGATTTCAGGGCACACCCCCCCCCCACAGTAAACCAAGTTTGGCCAAAGGCCAGTGTTTGGCTGTGGTTACCACTCCTCCGTATTTATTGAAAATCTTGTTTGCCCAGTACCATTCTGGGCCCACAAAGGAGATTTTGGAAAAGAAAAGAGTTTTTAACTGCTAGAAGCACAGGCAGGAAAGGTGGGTGCAAGTTGGTGAAGGGCACTTGGACTTGGAAAGAAGCAGATGAACACGTGGATGTCGTCTCAGTGACATTTGCTTGTCTCCCTTAAGACAGCCTATGGACCTTGCTCCAGCAGGAAGCTCATCCCAGCCACATGTTTTCAGGAAACATGGATGAGCAAATGGTAGATGAATCCCCTTCTGCAGAATTGGAGCTTGCTCTTTGACACCCACAGGTGGAATTGCTTAAAGCAGGTGCTGCAGAGTGACCCGTGCCTGCTGTGACCTCTCAGAGGGCTCTCAAACCCGCAGGGCTCTGCAGGGCTCTTGGGCCCATGAGGCTCTTTCAGCCTCAGCCATGCCTTGAGCCCTTCTGCCAGCTTAGCTGCAGGAAGGGCCTCTGGTCCTGGACTGGGTCCTCCAAGTCTCCCTGCCTCCCTTTCCATCCTAGGTCAGCAATGGCTCGGGCCTCAAGGATGTGCATGTCGCAGACTTGCTGGTGTTTGGCTTCCTCCAAAGCTGCTCCAGCAACAGTTTCCAGACAGAGCTGGAGGCACTGGGCCGTGCGCTGCCTGTGCGAGACTGCCTGTGGGAGGACTTTGAGGACGAGCTGCAGACGGACGGCAGCAGGGCCAGCCGCTTCCATGCGCAGAGGATAGAGGCAGGTAGGCATCTGGCTCTGCTTCCTCTGCCCTCAGATTCACTGTGTCCAGCAGCATCTGGGGAGCCTGAGGGCCAGAAGGGACCTTGGGGCCAGTCGGTACCTCTGTGGTTTCAGGTCACCGTAAGTGTTTGTGTCCTGCGGTGGTTTGGTCTGTCCTTGATTCCCTCCAGGGGTGCTGAGCTCATTATCTACCATTCTTGGATGACTCTACTCTAAAGTTCTTCCTTTCTGATGAGCCAGAATCTCCCTTAACCACTTTGGGCCGAGCGTCGACTGTAGTCGACAGCCACAGATGAACACGCTCAGCGACTTTAGCCGACAGCCGTGGTATGACTTTTCTAATTTTTCATTTAGCAAAATAAAATTGTGAACATTTAAAAATAACATAATGAAAACATATGTGTATGTGTTACCTATTCTGATTCACATGACCAGGAAAGCTGCCTGTAACGTAAAACAAGCTTGAGTGCTTTAAGGCTCTCCTCGTCACGCAAGAGCAGAACGCACAGCACTCCGCCGGCGACTGTCAGTGCCGCTGCGGGCGAGGTGTCGCGGCCGGTGAGCGCCGGACCGAAGTGGTTAATGTGCTGGCCTTGATTTTCCTGTCTGCACTAATATAAAGTAATGTTTTACCAAATTTCCCAATTCTGATAGAACCAGATTGTTGTATTGGAACCACTGATCTGGATTATATAACACAAGAGTTTCTGAAACTTGGGTTTATATAATTTCAGGAAGCTGAGGTGCTGTAAAAAATACTGGGGCCTGGTGCAGCCCCCAGGGATTCTGATTTGAGGGGTCCGGGCCTGGGCGAAGCTGTACCGGGTGTGCTGCTAACCCGCGCCCTGCACAGCCTGGGCCCAACTTCTGGTCAGCTGAGCTCCGCTTCTCTTTATGGGATGCTTTGCTCCCGTGTAGCAAGCACCCTACACTTCGCCTTCGGGTTCATTTGCCTTGTGGTTTCCTGTAAGATGAGAAGAACATTTTCACATCGTGAACCTCGTTTTCAGATGAGGAAACTGAGGCCCTGAGAAGGGTGAATGACCAGCCCTCAATCAGGCAGCGCATGGGTGCTGCTGCTGTTCCGGTTCTGCATGGCCTGGGCCCTGCCCGGCTGTGTCCCTTCCCCGTGCCTGCCACTGCCACAGGGACTGCCCTGAGCTCCAGCCCAGGACGGTGGCTTCCAGTAGCAAGCACGAGGATGGCATGGAGAGCTGTAAACCCACACGGCCCGGCCCTGCCCAGCGGCCAGGATCTGGCATTTTAGGCGGGGGACTGCCCCGACTCTGGCCCTGGTCAGGATCCCACCCTGCGCCCAGCAGGGTCCCGCGGTGTCTCTGCATGGCGGCTGTGGGGACCAGCCTTGGCCGGGCGGCTCAGACCAGGCGGTCTGGGGCTCTGCCATCGAGTCAGCCAGCATGTCTTCTGTCTCTGAACCGAAGGCCGGCCAGGGGCTCCCCCTCGGGAAACCGGGGAGGGCTGAGTGGGGAGGGCAGCAGGGCACAGGCGTGGCAGGGGCATTGAGTGGCCCGGAGGACACGCGGCGCTCAGGCAGGGGCCTGGCCTGGGAGAGGCCCAGCAGACAGCCGAGCGGGGCAACTCGCAGGAGGGCGCCTGGTGTAGGTGGTCTCAGGTGCCCACGGCCGTGAGTTGTGGCCTACCCGTCCCTGGGCGGGCGCTGGGTCTGCGTTCAGGAGGGCTGACTCTCAGCCAGCCTTCCGCTCCCTGGCCGCTGCCCGGGGCCAGCACGCGGCCTGCTGCAGTGGCCACGGAGGGACAGCCGGCTTTGCCTTTCCGGGGCGGGTGGCCAGCGTGGGTGAGGGTGTCAGGGCCCTGTCTGAATCTGCCTTGTCTCCGCTGCCCCTGCCTGAACATTCAGATTCTGAAAGCGAGGAGGACCTCATTCAGAATCTTGCCAGGCAGCTGGCCCAGATAGGGGACAGCATGGAGCACAGCATCCCCCCGGGACTGGTGCATCGCCTGGCGGAGCAGCTTGTGAACCCCGACCTCGTGGAGGAAGTAAGTGAGGGGTGACACTCGGGTGCCTTTTTGGGAGTGGGAAGGTGAGGACTGTTTCAGAGATCAGTGCAACTCTGGCTAGGTGACATGGTGTGGATCTGGGGCTTTGACAGGATAATTAGAAATAGTCAAAGCATGAGTAATTGTCTCTCAGAAGCATTAAGTTAGTTGACATTTAGGAAAACTGAACCTAAGTCAGAGCCAAGAGTTTAGAGATAAAGCCTCCCCAAAGATAAACAAAGTATAGTATGTGACTCTTCCAGAGATAACTTATTCTTTCTTCAGTTTTAGGGACTTGAATAAAAATGCCAATAGAGGGCTGGCGCAGTGGCTCACGCCTGTAATCCTAGCACTCTGGGAGGCCGAGGTGGGCGGATTGCTCAAGGTCAGGAGTTCGAAACCAGCCTGAGCAAGAGCAAGACCGTGTCTTACTAAAAATAGAAAGAAATTAATTGGCCAACTAATATATATAGAAAAACTAGCCGGGCATAGTGGCGCATGCCTGTAGTCCCAGCTACTCGGGAGGCTGAGGCAGGAGGATTGCTTGAGCCCAGGAGTCTGAGGTTGCTGTGAGCTAGGCTGATGCCACAGCACTCACTCTAGCCTGGGCAACAAAGCGAGACTGTCTCAAAAAAAAAAAAAAAAAATGCCAATAGAGAACTTTAAATCACTTTTTTAAAAAAGTGACATTGTAGCCTGGTGCTCTTCTTGGTGTCATGGTTATAATAAGTATGCATATGCTTACTGAGCTGCCACTTGCCTGGCACTGTGGGGTAGAAGATTGGCCCAAAGCACTGTGTCCCTCCTGAAGAAACTTAGCGTAAAGAGAGCCACCTACTCCATGCCGTCAAATACACGTCTGTAGTGACAGGAGTTTGGGGGGGAAGGCTCCATTCTTTTACTTCTGACAGCTGCCAACGCAGGCGCCCTTGCTGCCGAGAAACTTCGCCAGGCCTCAGTTCTCAGCAGGCTGAGCCTGCAGTCTCCCAAGGTGCTGTCACTCTGGTGCTCCCTCCCCGGGTGTCCCGGCAGCGCAGAGTGCGACGCGCAAGCAGGGCTCCGCCTTGAGACCTCTCGCACAGCGCTGGCTTGACTGCGTGTGAGTCGTGAGCCTGGTCCTTCCCAGTCCAGCGGCCTCTGGCCGCTCTTCCACAGCACGGGCGCACTTGGTGCCCTCCTCCGCCTCCTTCAGGTCTGCGCCAGTAAGATGGGCCACAGAGGAGATAGTTAACTGATTCTTGAGTTTAGGTACCTTAGGGGCAGGGAATGACCTAGGCTCCTTGCATTCCCTCAGTGTCTGATAGTGGCACACGAAACTGGCATTTGGTTAATGGGCACCCACTCCAGGGAGGATCTCCGCCTTCCCTTTGCATTGCCTCGAGAAACAAAATAGTTTCTGGGCCCAGCTCTTTACTTAGCATCCTTAGCTACCAAGTCAGTACCTCTCTCTGGAGCTTCCTTATCACTGCGGAGTGTTTTTCCTTTGCGAGGGAAGACTTGGTAAACCAGGTTCTGGGAGCCCCTCTGTCTTTACCTGTCGTTACCCCGAACAGGACAGAAGGGGGCACGTGGCCACCGCCCTGGAGCAGCTGATGCAGACTTGCCCTGCAGACCTGGAGCAGGAGAAGGCCACATTGGTGCTCACCATGCTGCTGGCCAAAAAGGTGGCCGATCACACGCCGTCCTTGCTCCGTGATGTCTTTCGCACAACAGTGAATTTTATTAACCAGAACCTGCTTACCTATGTGAGGAACTTGGCCAGAAACGTAAGAACCGGTGAAGGCACCCCTTGGCGTTCCCCCAGTCTGCTTGGTCTCTGCCCGCTGCCCATGCCCACTTCCCTCGCCTGAGCGCCGGACCCCTGTCCCTGCCCTTCTGCCGCTGGCGGCCACCCCAGGAGGCGGTCACACCCTCCTGCTCGGGTAGGAGGCGTGGTTTTGGCTTCTCAGCAAGAAAGCTCTGTGGTAGAGGCGGCAACGGACACCTGTTGTTTTGCAGTTTATCAGCTTTATGCTTAAGACACGCTGCCCTCAGAGGGCGGCGAGGCCCACCGCAGCCTCGCTGGGGTCCGCCCTGAGCAGAGCGCGCGGGCCTGGGAGGAAGCCGCTGGGCGGCCCAGGCCAAGCTTCCTCAGGCTGCTGTCACCTCCCTTGGCACACAAATCAGTGAGTGTAAATTCTTAAGCAACATGCTTACCAAGGATGGGTAGGGGAGAGAGACCAGAAGGAATAGTCCAAAAAGGTGGGGAAGCTAAAAATCTTCCCCAGAACACATCTGTCCCGTAACTGGGGTTTTAGTTACTGGGATAGTGGAAGTCATGCTGCTGCCAAGACAGGCCAGAGAGTCCTTAAACTCTGGTGCTTCAGTCTCATAGACCTGAGTGGACGTTAAGTGGACGTATCTTATCTGTAAACTTAAAAATATAAGGGAATGTTTCAGATTTTATGATATGTCAGAAGCATTACTCGGGCTTCCTTAGTTTTTTTTTTTTTTTTTTTTTTGAGACAGAGTCTTACTCTGTTGCCAGGGCTAGAGTGCTGTGGAGTCAGCCTAGCTCACAGCAACCTCAAACTCCTGGGCTCAAGTGATCCTCCTGCCTCAGCCTCCTGAGTAGCTGGGACTACAGGTGTGCGTCACCATGCCTGGCTAGTTTTGTTTTTTCCTATTTTTAATTGCTCAGCTAATTTCTATCTTTAGTAGAGATGGGAGTCTCACTCTTGCTGAGGCTGGTCTCGAACTCATGAGCTCGAGTAATCCTCCCACCTCGGCCTCCCAGAGTGCTAGGATTACAGGTGTGAACCATTGCGCCCAGCCAGGCTTGAGGTTTTTAAATAAAATAGCAACTAACTCTCCTAATATTTACTGATAAGCCTAAAAAAAGTATTCCTTATGTGCTGTGGTATTCAGTTATACAGGCATTTTAAAAACAGGAGAATGAATGTAAACCTTAAATCAGGTGTTAAGCCAAGTGAACCTCTTGGAAGGAGGGAAGCCCGAGAGTTCATGGGCAGCTTTTCCCAGCCACCATCCAAGGGGATGCGTGGGCAAGATGCCACAGCAGTCTGGGCTGACAGCTCACCAGACCCTGCAGGGCCGAGACAGAGTCACGGTTCCTCTGACGCACCAAGATGGCTCTGGATGCCTGCAGTGATTTGGGAGATGAGCATAGCCAGGTCTTAGCACCTGGAAATCCTGTTTTTGCAGCTGCTCCCACGTAGCAAAAATTTGGATGCAGGGATAGAAGGAGTTTAGGGCTCCAGAGAATGTTTTTGTGGATTAGCCTGGCTGATCTGCCTGTTTCTCCTTCCTTGTGCCAGATGGACTGAATGGATGACTGCAAAAGTGCGACCGGCCACCGCCTGGTGTGGGGTAGTCGTGCACCTGCCTCCAGTGCAGACGGAGCGCTGGCTGTATACACAGAGTTCCTGGAGAAGACAGGCACTGGACAATAGCTATTTATTTCTCACCATTTTAAATGATGTTTTAAGCTGGTGACCCATTTAGAAATTTCGACATCAATACACTTGAATGAAAATGTCAACTTGCACATACTTGAATGGGTTTGATACTATTTCCTAAATCTACACATTGTGCCTTTATCTTATTTCAGCTGTACAGGTTCCCACTTGAAAATTAATTTTTTTTAGATGAAGCTATTTATTGGCCAAGAAAATTAAGTCTAAAAGCAGGCTTTAAGACAGAAGAACAAAACATAATATTTCTTTGGTAAAAAAAAAATTCTGTTTATTAAAGTACAACCTTGGGGGATGGCCTCACAGCAAGCAGCGTCTTGTTTGAGCGGAGCAGGGATTGGAGAAGAAGGCACACCCCTCACAGATGGAAGTGACACTCAAGATAGGGCCCATCTTAATACTAAGCAACAGTTTTCCTGTTTAAAAACCAAATGGCACAGAGGTTTTGGACTAAAGTGCTGTACTTAAACAATGAGAAGTTCTGGCCTCATCCATAGGTGTTTTGACTTTTTCAACTTGATTTCCTTTTGTTCGAATCAAGAACAACTATGGGCCGTTAAAAGGTGTGAAGGTGGTTTACGGATCCAGCAGTCAACCATTGTTTCCAAAATCTGGTAACTAAATGTACTTTTTCTAAGAAACCAAGGCTTTGGTTGAAAAAAAATTTTTTTTCCTAAAAATTTCACGCTGATGGGGTACCAGAAACTACTGCAGATGCTGTTTGGTGTCCAGTCACACCCCTTGGCTCATCCCTGCCCCAGGAGACGCGTCCGGAGAAATCAGGGTTCTAGGCATGCAAGAGGAGAGCGCAGTTCAACTTCTTAAAACCCAGCAACTGAAGGGACTCCCTTTCCTGGGGACATAGTCAGAACCAAGTCGCTTAGTGCCAGAACAAACAAGGAAGAGCTTACGTTTAGAAACAATGCAACTCTGGTCTTTTGTTCCCAAGTATAAGCTATTTCCTAGGAATCAGTTTAAAGCTGGCAGTGGATCACGGGGCCATATCACAGACATTGCCTTTAACAGTGAAGCTCTTTGTACTGTGAGCACGATGCTTCTGGGGAAAAACAAGAGTAATGAGGTACTAATAAATACTTTGTTACCAAAAACACGTCTGTTCAAGAGTTTAAATTCATCAGAAAAATGGCCAGGCGTGGTGGCTCACGCCTGTAATCCTAGCACTCTGGGAGGCCGAGGCAGGCGGATTGCTCAAGGTCAGGAGTTCGAAACCAGCCTGAGCAAGGGCAAGACCCTGTCTCTACTATAAATAGAAAGAAATTAATTGGCCAACTAATACATGTAGAAAAAATTAGCTGGGCATGGTGGTGCATGCCTGTAGTCCCAGCTACTTGGGAGGCTGGGGCAGGAGGATTGCTTGAGCCCAGGAGTTTGAGGTTGTTGTGAGCTAGGCTGACACCACAGCACTCACTCTAGCCTGGGCAACAAAGCGAGACTGTCTCAAAAAAAAAAAAAAAATCAGAAAAGAAAAATAACTTTGAGGCTTAGGGCTGGAGTTTAATCTCTGATGTGGGCAAAAGGTTACAAATACTAAAAGTAGATGCTGCCTGCAACGTGAAGGCTGCCATTTGGAAATAAATCTTCCAGTAACACTATAACTTTTAATGTTTTGGAATGGGCTGCTTTTTTTTTTTTTAAGGATTAATAATATTACAGTGGAAACAAGTTGGATCACACATAGACATACACACTCATCCGTACATGTTATCGATCATTACAATCAGAGTCTCATGAGGGACAGGTATTTTCTTCCAAAAGGAGCAATTTAAATATAATCAGCCACTCTAATGGAAAAGAGCTCTAAAACAGCAAATAATTTAGACTTTCATAATACTTTTTTTTTTAAAGAGACAGGGTCTTGCTGTGTTGCCCACGCTGGAGTGCAGTGGCATCATCATAACTCACTGCCACATCACACTCCTGGGCTCAATCAACCCTTCTGCCTCATCCTCCTGGGTAGCTGGGACTGCAGGCATGTGCCACCACGCCCAGCTAATACTCTTTTTTGTAGAGACCACTATGTTGCTGACTGGTCTCAACTCCTGGCCTCAAGCAATCCTCCTGTCTCAGCCTCCCAAAATGCTGGCATTACTGACTTCTTAGGATACTTTTTATCTTTCACAGCATCTTTACCTTCTTCTGTTTCACTTAAATACCGTAGGCTGCCATTTTAATACAGTTTGTAATAGGTCTTGGTGTAAATTCTTCCAGACTAAGTACAAAAAAGTACTTTCTTGGTTATAAAGCAAGATTACTATCCCTTCTTCCCAAACCAACATTATAAAAAGATTCCGCTGTGTCAAAAACAAATGTGATCTTGAGCACCCCTAGCGGTGACTACTCAGGCTTATCCTAGAAGTTGATGGATCCTGACCTGGTCATGTAATCCTTGTGGATAGACTTGAGAGATGCCTTTAATTCAGAGAATGTGTTTTCCATTCCGTTTTTAAAACATTTCAATTGTTCAAGTCATGGAATTCTTTTGTTAAAGATAAAAAGCTTTCTCCTCCAAAAGATGCTTGGCATATCTGAAAATCAGGTGGGATAGCTCGTGCATTCAGAAGGTCTAATCATCCCTGACCTCACCTCTTAGGAGCCAGCATTAACTGCTGAGATGCTCAAGGCTGCCTTAAAGGATAACACAGTACCAGAGCCTGGTTTTATTTTCCAATACCTTTATTAAACTGTGCTGACTGAGAACTAGAATAGGGAGTGTCCTTTGAGTGTTATCATCTGGTTATCAGAACCTGGAGTCAAACAGGTATGTATTTACAAAGATTACACGATTTATTATCTGAAAAAATCTCAAGCTAAGGGCAGAGGTTACCATATGAATGAGTCCGTCAATTATCTTCAAATCTCGTTTTGCAACCTCCAGTGTGTTTTCCCCAACACTTTGCTTCTGACCAAAGCACAGCCCATAGATTAGAATATTTTGTTCCTTTCTTCTGATGAAGGACAGATTGGCTAGAAGGCAGGCAGAATAATCCACAGTAATGAACTGAGCAGACCCGAGCTGTGCCAAGGAGCAAGTGCTAGTGGAACTGAATGCAAGAGGAGGAAATATATGCTGCTTAACCGAGATGCTATGTAAATTACCATTTAATTCCAGTATTTTTCAGGAGATGAGAGCATTAGAACTGATAGTAAACTGAGCTTAAGGAATGCGTTGGGCAGGAAGAGGAACTTTTAATCTGAAAGAAAGAAATGGAAGAGTACAATAGTAGGAAAAATACAAGACTAGGAAAAAGTAAATTCTATCTTTTCCTTTGGTGCTGGCCAAGCACCTACCCACATAAGAGAAACCTCATGGTTTCTCTTGCTGGAAACCATCAGGAACAAACCGAGTTACTCCAGACTCTAACCAGGAACTGTACTTGAACTTCCTTTTCCTCATGAAAGGCAACAAACTAGTAATCTTAACATGTCAACATGTTCGAACTGAATATTCGTTAACCAGTGTCTTCTAGTGGTACAAAGAACACTAAAGTGAGCTATGTCACTGTAAAAGTTCCACTTAGGAGAGGTGAGTACAAGGTACGAATCATCTTGAGCCAGCTGCTACCTTTAACTTATGACAAGGCCTTGCAAGTATCCCTGAGAACAGTTCCAACCTGAGCTTGCAGTGGAGCAGCTGTCTGGCTAGGGTTTCTGTAAACATAAACATGGAGGACCCAGACAGTTTTAATGCACGGGAACATGGCAAGCAGGATGAAATCGTCTTGTGTGAAGAAAGGGAAGACTGGATATATTAGTATTTTAGGAACATGATAGTCTCCAACTCTCCATGGAGTTCTGTTTATATTATATATGAAGGAACTACAAAATAGCGACTGAATCTTGCTATTCTTTACCATAGAATTGGTATTCTGTAGCCAAGGCTGTAATCAGCTTGACATTGTGCTGTGGGGGCTTCTCACTAGGAAGTCTTCTGTCAGCCTCTGAGCAAGATGTACCTGTGGCTATGCCTGGTCAGCGCTCCTGAGTCAGTGATGTCTGCGTCTGTCACAAGGCCAAGCAATGCCTGTGTATTGCCCACTCCACCCCCACCTGATGGACAAAAGGAAACAAACTAGGAAGAAGAAAGAAAAATGCGTCATGGCGTTGTCTTCGCCTGTCCCATTTAGCATGTGGTGATAATTCCTGTGTCAGGTTGCCTACGCTTGTTTACAAGCTAACAAAAGATACCAGTGGTGCCTGCTGATTCTGTAACAAGGCATCTTGTTTAATATCTAAAGGGAAAACATCTGGTACAATTAGAAGCTAAGAAAAGTCCTGTACATAACCTTTGTTCTGGCTAGCCCATATGGTACCTTTATAGAAACTGGAACGAGGAAAAAGGCTCCCCTTGTTCCAGGGCTCACAGTGTGGCAGGTGAAGCACAGGCTGAATGTCAGAATTCATCCTGTCTGCCTCGTGCAATGAACAGCTGACACGACTGCAGAGCACCTGCCAGTACTGCTTTGCAGGCTCACAAAAATGATGAAAACCAGAAAAAGTATTAGACTTGGAGTCAGAAAAATTCAAACCATTGCCTTCTCAATACTAGGAAGACTTTAGAAAAGTTACTAAACTCTGATTAGGTGCCCTCAATTTTTAAAATGGGAATAAAAGGAATATGAGTAGCTCTTAGAAGTGTGACAGTGAAGTAAGTGATGTGAAAGCACTAGAACAATCTCTGGCATATTGTAAATGCTCAACTAATATTTGCTAACCTAATTACCCACACAAAGTTTTTAAGGATATTTTAATATGGAAAAAACCCCACCCTAAACCCATTGCACAGTTGGGAGGTCACCACTAACAGCAGGTCTCGGCCCTCCAGAGAAGAGGAAACATTTTTCTGGTGTCAGGTGTGTTGCTGAGACTTTAAATGAGGCAGTGCTTGGGAGGGAGGGAGTTCGGAGGCTCTAAGTTGTCTCTATCAGTGATCAGACAGCCTACGAGCCCCTTTTGATGAATAGGATTACCACCTCAAATTCTTGGAAAGATAAGTTTGTATGAAAAGACATAAGAAATTAAGAGAAAGGAAAGAAGGGAAAAATTTCTTAGCTATAAAACCTTTTATTTCTATAAAGCGTCTCTTAAAATAATTCAGAAATTCAAATGTGAAACTTGGACATTTGTCCACATCTCATGCCTTTAGGGAAAAAGGCAAGGAGCAGGCATCACCTTTCTGTCATTAGAAGGAATTAGCACAGAGGCTGAGGGTATCACCGGTGCCTGTGGTTCAAATAACCGTGTCTCTGAGTTCCCTGTGCACTCCCCCAGGACAGAGCTAGGTAGGTAGTGGCTGCATTTGAGAAGAGATAGTACAGAAACACAGGCAAGAGGAGGGTTCAAGGATGCCTCTGGGTGGGAAACAGGTGAACCAGTTCCAACAGCTGCATTTCTTTATCTAGAATGTTCTCTAGAGGGCAATGAAGATGAGAGTCCCCTAAGGCACACTATAGGTACTGAATTCTGTAAACCCAGAATTATCACTTTAATACAGACAGGATAAACTGGCATTCCTTAATTCTGGCTTTTTTTCCTCAACAAACTCGCACTGGCCTTTTGCCAAGTGGCCAGAAATCATGACCTTCAATACATCAGCTGAGAAGAGTTCCAAGGACTAACAAAAACTTTCCCTCCCCCTTAAACAAGCTGGAGTTACTCTGAATCTTCCCTTTACCTCAGATGGTGTATCAGTCATAGGGCAGGAAGGAACAGCCTCCTGCTGTCAGCTCCCCCAAAAAGAGGAGAGGGAATTTGAGAAATAATTTTTAAAATGTAACAGCTAAGAGTAGGGGCCCCTGTAAGCAGCAGTCCTCGTTAGGGGTGTCCCTCAACAGCCAGAGGCAGAGGACAAGGATATGAAGAACAAGGACTCAACCTGTCACTCAGGAACTAACAAAGATTCACTCTAGAGAAAGCCAATAAATAATAAAGAATAGCTATTTGCCATTACCTAGCAAAATACAATTGGCCAAATCATGTTGGGTTAATGTTCAACATGTGGGAAAATAAAGCAGCAATAGCCAGTTGCATATCACACTTCTTCCCACCCCTTCCTTTTTTTTTTTTTTGAGACAGAGTCTCACTTTGTTGTCCAGGCTAGAATGAGTGCCGTGGCGTCAGCCTAGCTCACAGCAACCTCAAACTCCTGGGCTCGAGTGATCCTTCTGCCTCAGCCTCCCGGGTAGCTGGGACTACAGGCATGCGCCACCATGCCCGGCTAATTTTTTATATATATATCAGTTGGCCAATTAATTTCTTTCTATTTATAGTAGAGACGGGGTCTCGCTCTTGCTCAGGCTGGTTTTGAACTCCTGACCTTGAGCAATCCGCCCGCCTCGGCCTCCCAAGAGCTAGGATTACAGGCGTGAGCCACAGCGCCCGGCCTCACCCCTTCCTTTTGTGGGGAATAAATCCACATATCCTGAGCCAGAATTCCTAAGCCCCGGATCTTTTAGCAGCTCAGAAATGAACCTAGCTTCATTAGTGCTTAAATGTACCCAGCTAGTGGGTGTGAGGATCCAAAGTTTAAGTGTTAACACTGGAAGGAAAATATTTTATTATAAGACAACAACAAAAATTCAAGATAACTCACTAGTTTTCTTTGCTCTTAAGCTATGCAAATACATCAATTTGAATCCAGAATGATCCAGTGCAGCTGCCAGAGCCCAAGTAGAAAACCTCTCCATCGCGCCCTCACCTCCAGCTGCGCTGACCGCGGTGAGCCCAACCCTACTCCCGCAAGGGCGCTGCAACTCACTGCATAGACACACGCTGCCTGATAAAGCCATAGAAGACGCAGACATACTCTCATACCTTTTCTTGACCAACTTTTAAATAGTATTGCTTTAGGAAGAAGACTTTATTTTAAAAAATAAATTTCAAAAGAAAAGCACGTTTAAAACATCAGGTTTTAGTGATCAGGGTAGGTAAGGTACTTTTATTATAAACTTCAGGATCTAAAAAGTAATTTGTTACATTTACTAAGATAAATCTGAGATGACTTTTTTTTATCAAGCATGTGTACCCTGCACTGTGCCGCTGTGACCCTCAGGCATGGAATGACTCAGTTCCATCCCTTCTTTAGAAATGCGATCAGCCAGATGAAAGAAAATTATGCTGATCCTCAGCTAGCATATACTGATTAGGATCATTTCGGTTTATTACTCAGGCATTTGGGCTGTGAAGAGTTTAGGCAAAGATGCCTCCATTCTTGAACTCTGAAAGCCAAACTAGAAACTCAAGGGTAGCCTGTTCTTTTTTCAGTGATATTTAGAAGACTTTCTACATTTAATAAGAGTTATTATCCAACTGGTTCTGTAAGCCCAAGCATGAAAATTTTTACCTTGTGGCAGGAGACCCACAGAACTGGTCAGTAGTAAGACTGAAGTCAGATATTGGAAAAATTTCCCTAGCCCAGAGTTAGACAGTGACCATTCAGGAACAGAGATGCTGCTGGCAGTAACCGTGGCTAAGGGGGGCGAGTGCTGACAGAAAGGGCTGGAAGAGCCCTCAGGAGGCCATCTAGGCCATCCTGCCTCTAAATGAGACAAACGCCTCTCTACCAGAGTTACTTGAAATTGCACTCACAGGTAGGGGACCTGTCTCTTTTATGTTATATGTATTTTTTTAAAGATTCCTAAAGGCAGCATCTTTACAAGGTGGAGCTGCAGGGAGCTTCAGGGACTTGATGGGTCTGAGCAGAAGTAAGAGCAAGCCCTCTCCTGGGGGATCTTAGCAGGAACCCGGGGAGAAGAGGACAGTGCAGTCCCTGAGAGGCAGCCGAGGCGTGCGGGGAGAGCACCCTCGCACTCTGGGATGGGGGTGGCTGCAGCACAGCCTGTTCGGCAGGAAGATGAAGTGTCAGGGAAAGAGCCAGCAAGTCAGTAGCCGAGGGGCCCACAGCTAAGCCCCCTTGCCTGGGAATTTCTATCCCCAATTTTCCTAGATTAACCCTCCCCCTCAAAAGCAGTGGCCCTCAACAGGATGATTTTGTCGCAGGGGACATTTGGCAATGTCTGGAGACATTTCTGGTTGTCATCACTGGGAGTGGGGTGGGTAGAGGCCAGGGATGTCGCTGAGCATCCTACAATACCCAGGACAGCCTCCTACAACAAAGAATGATGGAAGTGTCAACAGTGCGAGGCTGAGAAACCCTGTTCTGGAGGGAGCACTTTACTTATGAGACTGCAAATCTAGCATGAGCCAAGGCCCTTGGAATCCAGACAGCCACGAAAGCCCTCTACCTCAAGCCCTAATGTGAGATCAAGCCACTGCCTTGTTGAGAAGTCCCCAGTTATCCCAGAGTGTTCCACAAATGTCCCATCAGCTGCTACCGGTTCAATTTCCAGCCAATATAATTAAAATCTCAGATTCTTTTGTCTTCTTCCTCTTCTGAAAACAATCTGCTATTTCTTCCTCAGAGCCAGTGCCACCCCGACTGCCACTGCCAGGGCAACGACGGCGGCGGCCCCTCCGAACAGCAGTGTAGACCTGCCCCCCGACAAGGGCGTGGCCATTGCTTTCCCAGCAGGGGGGGGCTCCTCGGTGAGCCCCTCTCTCGCTCCAGCTGTCTCCTCGCCCTGCGTCTCCTCAGCTTCCAGCGCAGGGGCCGCCTCCTCGTCAGCAGGCTCAGCTGCTGCTGCTTTCACCTCTTCTTCAGCAAGTTCCACAAACAAAGATGTAGCAGGGCCGGCTTTCTCAACTGCAATCACTTCTGCGTCGGGTTCTCCTGTCTCCAGCAGGGACGTGGCAGTGAGATGTGGAAGCAGGGGTGCTGGGCCTTCGGGGAACGCCCCCTGCAGCTCCCCGGCAGGCAGGGCCGCAGAAGCCACAGCAGCCTCTTCCATGCCCTCGGGAACTTCTTCCTTCTCCACGTGCACGATGTCAGAATTGGAAGAGTTGTTCTCACTCTTCTCTCCAGCGCCGTTGCTATCTAAGCTCTTCACTTCTTCAGGATCCATTGCAATCTGCTGCCAGGATTCGGGACCTAGAGACACAGGCAGGCTCTCTGTGTGCCAACTCTGGCTCGCCGACAGCGACACAGGCAGGCTCTCTGACTGCCAGGAGGTGGTCACAGTCGGAGACTCTGGAGGACTGACTTGTCCAGAGTTGTCACTGGGCAGGATATAAATGTCATTGCTATCCTCTGCGATGCCTCCAGGGTACTCCTCCTCCTCGGACTCCAGATTAAAGACAGTGCCCTAGAAAAGGAGGAGGAGAGTCAATAAAAAGAATGGCAAATATTTAAAAAATAAATGTCAATCTGGAAAAAAATTATTTCCTAAACTGAAGTTCCAGGAATAAATACACTGTTTAAACCTACATAGTTTCTGAATTGAATGCATTTACTTATAGGCCAATGAAGAATTTTTGACAGTCCTCTGAGCGGTTTTCCTGAAACTAAAAAATCAAAAGTTAATTTATATTCAATGTAATTCGGACACAGGTTGAGCATCCTCCCATCCAAGTACTAACCAGGCCCGACCCCGCCCAGCTTCCGAGATCAGATGAGATCGGCCCGTTCAGGGTGGTGTGGCTGTAGACAGGTTGAGCATCCTTAATCTGAAAATCTGGAACCTGAAATGGTCCAAAACCTGAAACTTTTTGAATGTTGATATGACAACGCAAGTGGAAAATTCTACATGCTGACCTCACCTGACAGGCTGCAGTCAAAACACAGAACTTTAGGCTGGCGCGGTGGCTCATGCCTGTAATCCTAGCACTCTGGGAGGCCGAGGTGGGAGTATTGCTCAAGGTCAGGAGTTCAAAACCAGCCTTAGCAAGAGCAAGACCCTGTCTCTACTAAAAATAGAAAGAATTAATTGGCCAACTGAAAATATATAGAGAAAAAATTAGCCGGGCATGGTGGCGCACACCTGTAGTCCCAGCTACTCGGGAGGCTGAGGCAGCAGGATCGCTTGAGCCCAGGAGTTTGAGGTTGCTGTGAGCTAGGCTGACGCCACGGCACTCTAGCCAGGGCAACGGAGTGAGACTCTGTCTCAAATCAATCAATCAGTGAATAAAGGAATAAATAGAGTTCAGATGGAAAAATGACTTCTTTAGCAAGGGTCAGGGAAGGCAGGGAGACCACAGAAACTTCATGGAGGGCAATGCTGTGTGTGGAAACTATACATACAAAATACAAAAAACAACCAAACAAAAAAGAAAGCTTCATGGAGGAACCAGCATTCGTATTGGACATCTGAAGAATGGATAAGATTTTGGCAAGTGAAGGGCACAGAGGTAGAACAAAGGGGGACCAGCATATGGCCCAGTTTAGTGAGAGCACAGGAACAGACATTCAGTTAGCACAGGGCCCTGGAGGAACCTGAATGACAGAGCACTAAGAAATAGAGACTTTACTCAACAGGCAACAGTCAGTCACTGAAATCTTTGAGGAACAAAATTACAATCTGAGCTCTGCTTTAAAATTCCTCCGATAGCAGTGCCAGAATGGAGACAAACTAGCAATGCAGGGACTCTCGCGTCTTTCCTTAGCAAGAGTCTCAGCAAAAGCGATGGAGACCAGTATGTAGTTTTCACTTCCATGTGCCTGCTGCTTTTGGGGGACTGTGGTAGCATGACACAGTAAGCTTCAAGGCAGGTGTGTGCGCAGGAGGCCAGGTGAACCCAGAGGTTAAGACCTACCTGGTAAGGGCAGGAAGAGAACCGATGGAATGGAATGTCACAGAGGTCTACAGAAAGTTTTACAAAAAAGCTAGACAATACTCATAAATGTTACACAGAGTTTGAATAGTATATAGAAAATAAATTAATTCCTACTTCATTTTACAATTACGGCTGCCATTCCTATGAACAAGAATAATTTTATTCTTCAACCAAGACCAAAAACTTTCTGTGTACACCCAGGATCAAATATAAATCAGAAATGTCTTTATTAACACCACAAAAAAGGAAATCAGAAACAAACAAATCACATGGTCATAATGTCCTACTGTGCCACATTCTACCTCAGTCCTTGCGCCAACCTCCTTAGGAAGAGGTCCTGGCAGCCACCAAGGATATTGTGTAAATATGGAATAAGCAGACAGGCAAAATAATACAGTAATGAAAAACACAAGATTTATAGTAAAAAAAAGTGGTTTGAATCTCAGTTCCAAGGGTGTACTAGCTATGTGAATTTGGATACCTTGCTTCACCTTTTAAACTTTAATTTTTTCATAAATAAAATTGGGATGGCTGACTTGATAAGACTGTTTTAAAACTTAGGTCTAGTATTTATAGTGCTTAGCATAGCACCTTGGACATAGGAAGTAACCAATTAGTTATGCTGTTTCTTCACTGTTGTTATTACTGTCTGTGTTTTGGTGGTAGGTGATAGGTAAAGAGCTACTCTAAAATGCCAAGTAGACAGAACAATAAAGATGTGAAAACAATTTGAAATAACACCCTTCCCTGCTTAGGGAAGGTAATTTACAAACTTCCCCTTCCTCTTCCATCTCTTCCAAGTAGAGACATCACAAAACTGGTGAAATCTCTCTTTAGAAAACTACAATACCATAGGCTACAGTCAGGTAAACTGGAGGGGCCGTGGGCGAAAGGGCTTCTAGCACGCCAGGCTTTTGAGCATGACAGCTCACCTCAGCCTTGGGGAGCTCCCTTTAAATCTAGGCCCTCAGAAGGTCCAGAAGAGGAAGTGCTGAGGGTAGGGGAGGGAAGGGGGAGGACATTCAGGCTTTAGGGGGTTGTTGGTTCAATTCAGCTATGTAAGAAAGAGATGAAGATCTTAACCAGAAGCTATAATCATATATCAAACATGCACATTTGGCAGGGATTTTCATTAGCATTCTTTTTAATATAGGAAGGATTAGAAATAGACTTCTATATCTTTAAGAAAGGTTAAAAATAAAAAGAGTTCATCCAAATTGTAATAACTGCTATTAAGGCCAGGCGCAGTGGCTCACGCCTGTAATCCTAGCACTCTGGGAGGTCGAGGCAGGCGGATTGCTCGAGGTCAGGAGTTCGAAACCAGCCTGAGCAGGAGCGAGACCCCGTCTCTACTATAAGTAGGAAGAAATTATTTGGCCAACTAATATATATAGAAAAAACAATTAGCCGGGCATGGTGGCGCATGCCTGTAGTCCCAGCTACTCAGGAGGCTGAGGCAGGAAGATCCCTTGAGCCTAGAAGATTGAGGTTGCTGTGAACTAGGCTGACACCGCGGCACTCACTCTAGCCTGGGCAACAAAGTGAAACTCTGTCTCAAAAAAAAAACCAAAAAAAAAACCTGCTATTAAAAAACAATAAGTAGGCTGGGCGCTGTGGCTCACGCCTATAATCCTAGCTCTCTGGGAGGCCGAGGCAGGCGGATTGCTCGAGGTCAGGAGTTCAAAACCAGGCTGAGCAAGAGCAGACCGTCTCTACTATCAATAAAGAATTAATTGGCCAAATGAATATATAAAAATAGCCGGGCATCGGTGCCGGCCGTAGTCCAGCTACCGGCGAGCTGAGGCAGGAGGATGCTTGAGCCCAGGACCGAGTCGCTGGACTAGCTGACCTCACCGCACCTCACTCTAGCCGGCAACAAAGCAGACTCTGCCAAAAACAACAACAACAAAAAAATACCATAAGACATTACAGTCAGGGGGGGGGGGGGGGGGGGGGGGGGGGGGGGGGGGGGGATATGCGAAGAACACACCTGTACAAAAATTACCTTTAACATAAAACCACTGCCAAAGTACACATTCGAGAGAAATTAAAGATGTACAGTATTTCTTTTATCCAAAGATAGGCCAATTAGACATAGAACCAAGAAGCAGATCCACACATGGCACATGATTATGGCCTGTGGTACATTGTGGAAAACTGGATGGGTATATCGCCATGTATTAACACACAGTACAATGTACTTATTTGCAACATTCAGATACATGAAATGGATTATATAAGTTTCAAATAAAAAATGTTTAAAAACTACAACAACACCACTGTAAGCAGGTATTCTAAGGGCAAGATTACAGAAAAGGATGTATTACATAAATTTTTATATGGTCATGATTAGTAAAAATATATTCCATTATTTTAATAAAAAATACAAGTAGGGCTCTGCTATCCTGGGAAGTTGAGAGCAGAAATTCAACAATCTCAACACGGGCTGTGAAGAACTGCGTCAGGTGAAGAGACGCTCCTGTCTGGATTTTGTACGGTCTCCAAGAAGGGCAGGCATATGGGAAGTACTACAAACTGCACTATTTTTAAATTTTATTCTTTTTAGTATGGAATTCACATTCATAAAATCACCACTCTGGATCTACAATTCAGTGTTTTAGTACATTCACAAGTTGTTCAACTATCCAATATTTAATTCCAGAATGTTTCCATCACCCCACAAAGAAATCTTTTGTAGTTATTCTCAATCCCCTTCTCCAGCTCTGCAACCATTAATCTACTTTCTTTTTTTTTTTTTGAGACAGAGTCTCGCTTTGCCAAGGCTAGAGTGAGTGGCCGTGGCACTCAGCTAGATCACAATAACCTCAAACTCCCGGGCTCAAGCCATCCTCCCCTCAGCCTCCCGAGTAGCTGGGACTACTTATGTACTACATATGCTAAGTAGTATTCATTGCACGGATATTATACATTTTGCTTATAGTATCAGTGGATTTTTACCTTTTAGAATAGTTAATAGTGCTGCAGAATGTCCCATGTACAAGGTTTTGTGAATTCATGTTTCAATTCTTGGAATATATTAATATAGACCCAGCATGCGCTGGTCATATGATAATCTCTATGCCAAACTATTTTCCTAAAAATATAGAAAAATTTCCAAACACATTTCAAAAAGCAATCTGCCAAACTTCTCCAAAGTAACGCACCTTTTTATATTCCTACCAGCAAAGTACACGGTTCTAAATTTCCACATATATTCCAACGCTTGTTATGTCGGGTTTCAATATTATTATTACCATCCTAGTGAGGAATAGAATCTTATTCTGGTTTTATTTGCATTTCCTAATGACTAATGATTAACATCTTTGCATGCTCATTGGACATTTATGTATCTTCTTTGAACACTTGTACAAATGCCCATTTTTAAATTGGTTGTCTTTTTATTGTGAATGTAAGAGTTTTTTATTCTTCAAACAGACTTACACAGTTGGCTGTTAAAATAACCATTTGTAAGGCCGGTGCCGTGACTCACGCCTGTAATCCTAGCACTCTGGAAGGCCGAGCAGGCGATCGC